ATACAAGAAGGCTTCAAACCACCTGTATTGGTGTTTGTTCAATCAATTGAACGTGCCAGGGAACTATTTCATGAATTAATATATGATGGTATTAATGTTGATGTTATACATTCTGAAAGAACAAAAGCTCAAGTATGGGAAATTTCATTATATGCATGCATTTATGATTATTTTTTTATTCAAATAGTTATTAAAATCTTATTTTTATATATATATAAAAAAAAAAGAGAGATTCAATTATTTTAAATTTTCGAAAAGGAAAAATATGGGTTTTAATAACTACTGAATTAATGGCACGTGGTATGGATTTCAAGGGAGTAAATTTAGTTATAAATTATGATTTTCCGCAATCAATTCAAAGTTATATTCACAGAATTGGTAGAACCGGTAGAGCGGGTAGATTAGGTGAGGCTATTACATATTATACAAAAGATGATGCTCCATATTTAAAAAGGTAAGCATCAATTTTTATTTGTTAAATATTCCACATTGACTTCTTTATTTATTATTAAAATATTGACTAGAATATTATAATTACAATAATAGTATTGTAAATGTTATGAGAGAATCAGGATGCGAAGTTCCAGATTGGATGCTTGAATTGAAAAATCCATCCAAAGAATCCAAAAAGGAATTGAGGAAAAAGCCAATAGAGCGCAAAACTATTAGTACAAGATCTGATTATGACATTAAGAAAAAAAAAATCAAACATAAATAAAGATAAATTTTTTTTCTTTTGTTAAATATCATTGATCCAAAAATAGGAAATGTAAGTTCAAATAATGTCATTAATAATTATAATCATCTTTACCTATGTTTGGTGGTGTTGGAAATGGTTTGTTATTTAGTATAGACGGATACATTTATACTAAGATAAATAGCAATTCTACTTGTGAAACTATCAATGTAATGATGTCAAATATAGTGAATTGAAGTAATAATTACAAGAAAAAAATTTTTGTATAAATTTTTTAAATCAATAGCTAGCAATAATCAATTATATTAATATAGCCTATAATACTACACACCTTAGTTACGTATTAGTATATAAATAAATATTTTGTATCGCAAATCACTATAAACGGAATTTTATACAATAGTCCAACAACAACAAAATTATTGAATGTGCATATTTGACATCCAAATTTCAAAATAAAATAAAAATACCAGAAATGATTATTGCACGTATATAATACTATTAAATATAAATAACTAATTATCTATAATTTTATTTCTCAAGATATTCAAAGATATTTAATATATCACAACTATTAGTAGCCAAGTAAATTTTAATTTAATAAAATGACAAGATTTAACTTATTTGGGTAGTTAATTCAATCTGTTGAGAATATTTATCCATAAAATTAAAAACAATCAATGATTAAATGTTAATAATAGCCATTTTATTTGGAATTCACAGGTTGGGAAAGGTTTATTATAATTTTAATAAACAACAGCATTTTGGATGAATTGTAATTTTTGATGGATCAAATGCATCCATGTATCTGTAAGCTAATTCGATATAGAATTACTCCAGATATATCATTTTTGCAGTAAATGGACTAGTAGAATCTTGAAGAATGAATGATTTTGAAAAACTTT